GACTTAATCAAAGCACATCATTGGCTAAACTAAGGTCTTCTCTTTCCAACAAAAAAAAACGAGAATGGCCTCTTAAAGAGACAGTGGCAAGGAAATGAACACAAAGCGTATGTTGCCATATGGCCACACCATGTGGTAGAGGGTTAAGAACCGCTGCTTTAGAACATTGATTTTGAAACTTGTGAATCCATTAGAATCGTTAGAAGACAGAATCGCGATTCATATATGAACAGATTTTTACGTGCACCTCTAGTTTTCTCTTCCTCTTCTCTAAAGCAGCGCAGCATGGCCTCGCCCCCTTTGCTGCCTTTTCCCCGAGGGCGGGGTTTATCAGGGTTTTTGATGTCACGAACCCGGGAAGTAACTTGTTGTAGTCCCTACCAGCCGTTTTTGTAGGCATTAAACTGCCAGAATTAAGACGATATCTCCGTTTGCATTGAACTTTCAGCTTCGTTACTTTGCAGATATTGTTTATGTTCAAACAGCAACATTACACACTAACTAATGTTAAAAAAGTGAAATCGCAATGAACCACCCCTTTAAGAAAGAGGGCAGCAAAACAGATTGATTTAGAGTCACTCTTTTTGACCGCTTTCGTAGGAGCAACAAAGATTGCTGTAGGAGCTTGCTGCAGATGGGGCACAACTCAACATTTGACCAGACAAACTGAGTGGAATTTCAGCAAGGCATTGATAGCATACTGTGAGACACAGACTTTTGTCTTTCTCTCTGCTTATTAACTTCAATGGCTCATTTTGCGTGTCACAAATGATTAATGTGATCTATCTTTACTAGCTGAACCTGCTTGATTTGCTCCATGACTTCTAATGCCAAATGGAGATGTTCAAACTCTTCCCTTCAGAGCACACACAGGCCTGAATACAGATATTTTAGATAAAGCATACAGAAGCATATTTATACAAAATCATTTACAAAAGCATACATAAATAAGAGCAAACCCAGCTCAACACAGTTCAACAGCTCAAGGTGGATGGCCATTATTTTAGTTACAACTTGGCCTGGTATACTGAAAGTTTGGTTTAGCCATATCTGGTTCATTTTGTTGATGCATGTTCAGTCATACAACATAATAAAGTAACTATTTAACAATAATACAAACACATATTTGGGAAACCACTGCCAAAAGCATTTAAGAAATATTTACATAATACTATTTAGCTTGGTAAACTCATTAACAGCCAACGTAAGGTTAAACTTTCATTAACAAGTCATTAACAATTATATTCTGAACAGATCCGTTGTTGATGCACTTTCAAACATCAATGAAAATATATGAGTTAAAGTTTAATTACATTTTATCTGTTTACATATACATAAAATAATGATCTCTACACCATTTTGTTATATAATAATGTCTGGGTAAGGGGTCAAATTGTCCTTGATCTATTTAATTAAAACATTTGGGCCCGGTTTCATAGACAGGGCATACCCTAAACCAGGATTAGGCCATAGTTCAATTTGGACATTTAAATAATTTTTATAAACACGCCTTAGAAAAAAGCATTACTGGTGTGCATCTTTATACAAAACAAAGGCACTGACATGCTTTAAGATCAGTCAGTGCAAGTTTCTTTCAGTTGAAACAGCTCAGATTTACATTTTAGTCTAGGACTAGGCTTAAGCCTTGTCTGTGAAACCGGGGGTATATGTTGAAAATAACTAAACGCATAAAAAAAGAATGATAAAAGAAATAAATTGTATGATAAAAGATGTGGGGTGGCATCTGAGATTCTGCATGGCCTTCTAAAGGAACTGAAGTTATATTTTACCAAGGTCCCAATCATTTCAGTCTGACCTTACTTTTATAAGAGCGCAGATGTTGTTTTGCGAACCTGTCACATTGTAATGCAGGCTTTTTCTAAGAGAGTTTTACTGAAAGATGGAGCAGCGGCAACTCTATTTGACAACAAATCCCCAACACACAAGTAAGAGCTGGTACTCTTTCACAAAAAAAGAAGAGGCATACACAGAAAACCTAAAGATACAGCAGCAAAATGGCTTGATAAATTCAAAATGTTAGAGAGAAGGTAGATGGTCATAAGTAAATTATGACTGTGCTTGATGCAAGAAACAAAAAACTGACATTTATAAAAAATGATATCATGACCCCTTTAATGTAACTAATGAAAGTGTAGCCAAGAATTCTTGAGATCAGAGTCTTATAGGACATTTCAAGTCAGTGAAATCTGCAGCCCCGGCCTCCTGTGCTGGATGGAAATCAAAGCACATCTTTTTTTTTCTGAATAACTGATGAACTATACCAGCGGGACTCATGTAGAGGTATGTTTAAACACGCACACACTCACTTACACTCACTATGTTTATGTACGAACATGAATGATAACTTTGAGTGAAATTAAGCAGCCATGCAGAATGGCCATGGGAGGGATGTGAGGAATGCTGGAGGGTGGATGAGTCAATTGAACAATTGTTTTTTGTGTGTGTGTGTATGCGATCATTTATAATGCCTTTCTCATACATTCAGACATTCTTTATGTTCATCTTAAAGGGATCGCTTACCCAAAAATGAAAATTCCATCATCGTTTACTCGCCCTCATGTTGTTCCAAACCTGTATGACTTGCTTTTTATCTGTGGATCACAAACTAAAATATTATGAAAAATGGGGTTCTGGTATTGAGAGACATTTATTTGTATGGGCAAAAACAGCTGAAACATTCTTCAAAAGATCTTATTTTCCATTCTACAGAAGAAACCATAAGGGTTTCAATTTCATAAAGGTTTGGAATGACATGACCATAAACACTGACAAAATTTTCCCTTTTGGGTGCAGATATGTATACTACAGGTCATAATTAAAGAAAGATATTGGAATCAAATATTTTAATGTTTTTGAAAGAAGTCTCTTATGCTCACCAAGGCTGCATGTGTTTGATAAAACATACAATAAAAACAATACTATTACTAAATTTAAACAAACTGTTGTCTATTTTTATATGTGATGGCAAAGCTGATTTTTTTCTCCAGTCTTCGGTGTCAACTGATCCTTCAGAAATCTAAAATAATGATTTGGTGCAACTTTGGTGAGCATAAGAAACTTCTTTAAAAAACATAAAAACCTAAATTATTCCAAACGTTTGACTGGTAGTGTATAGTGTGGCAGATGCAAGGAAGATGCAATTCAGCATAAGCATCACATAGAGTTCAGAATTTCTAAAAAAGATCAGGAACAGAGTAGTGTGGTTCATTTACTCCTGGAATGAGTTGTCTGCTCGTGCCAAACAGTCAGGCACTTTCAGATCACAGTCATTTACCGTCCGAAATATTCTGAACATATTGCACCATAACAAGCCTGCTGCCACTGTGTGACCAATGAAAGCTCAGACCCACAAACATACCAGTAGCATGGGCCTCCGTTTTGGAAAACGGACACCACTGCCACAATCCCAGTCAAGAACAGCAGCAGGTGGTCACTTCAACCCACCGTCTCTCATCCTCCCCTTTTGTCCCATAATCCTGTGTACCTCAGTATCATATTGCCGTGACTGTATCAAGGGAGGTGCCTGAAGTGCTAATTTTACTCTGGCCTTGTCCAGTGTGAGGGGTCCAGTGTGTGCGCGAGTGAATGATTGTACAACAGAATAACTACAGAATTGACACTTGGCTAAGCCCCGCCTACTGACCATTCTCAGCAACTGTTGTCCATCCAGAGACATATAGGCTACACACTGTAGAGGTGCAGCTCGAAGTGGGACACCAAAATCACAACTGGTACCTGTAGGGCGGGGCTTAGTGAAGGGGTCAATTATGAAAAAAAAAACATGATAAAAAGAAAATGAAGGTAAGCAGACAGGGAGAGAAAAAAAGAAGTCAAAAGAAAACTAGTACAAAATTCTCTGCACATCACATTTTTTCCCCCACAGCTATTCATCAGGACAGGACACACAAAATCAGGACAGGCATTCAAAGCTTTCACCACCATGCATTTGTGTTTCCAGGCATGCCTTGAAAAGTCATTTAATAACGATCTTTACATTTGCCTGTGTAGCTACAAGGTGTTGATATTGGCAACTGACATTGTTCATTTTAATTTCACAGGCCAGATCGTGGCTCTAACTGACCGTGAAGACACCGAGGCATTTGCAATAGTATAATCTCTGCCCTTTGTGTTTTTGTTTAGTCTCAGCCAGTTTAGAGATTTTGAAGGCAGATTGTGTTTACAGAGAAACTATGCTGTGAAGTCTGCAGTAATCTCCCACCTGCAGATAAAGCACTGAAGAAATTACATGTGCTCAGGTATCATTTAAGCCAAGTGAGCTATTGTTAGAGACTCAAGGGAATAAGAGGGGTACTTTTATTGATATTTCTTAACTTATTCCTTTTCCTATTATAGTCGGATTGTTGTTAGCCAGATGAGAGACCAGTATAAGCGGTCATATTCAATATTTACAGTATTCTGACTGACTGTTCCACTGCATCACATGTCCATTAATATAAACTTTTAAAATGTCTTCAGTGATTGCAGGATTAATCAATCAGGCTCTCATTTAAGTCAGCACAATGCAATATGTCATTTACATCACTATGGTAAGAAAACCTTTCCCAAAAAATCAATGTAAATGTTCCTCTAATCATAATTATAAACCTCATGAATTGAATGGTACACGAATTAAACACTGAAGGATCATTTGAAATTAAAAACTCTTAGCGTGTGTGTACTCATCCAACTAAAACACACATCTGCACACACTCAAGGGAATCCTCAGGTTTTACACACTTGGGAGGGGGAGATGAGGATTCTTCAAACGATTACATCTCCGCAAACGTAGTGGCATTCGATCTCCTTGACTCATGCTTCTGCACTCTCATTCTTGTAGGTTATTACTGGAGTAAAAACTGGAAGTCTCTGACATGGTTTTGGAGATGCTGCGAGAGGACGAGCCATTGGAGGCGAACTCCCTGGAGGGGCTGTGAACTGCCGGTCTCCCTGCGGCCCCTCTGATGCTCCCAAACGTGACCTTTTGGCCATCTTCACATGGCTGCATCACGCAGGACACAGTGGTCTCCATTCGACTGGCCCTGTACAAACTGGTCTGGGTTTGAATGTACCGGGTGGACTTGAGCTCTAGACCCTCGTAGGATCCCTCAGGGACACATGGACAGCAGCGGAATGCTTGCTTAAATCCCGCACGGAACCTGAGGAAATGTTTAGAAATGTAAGAGATGAATAGACAGATAATGATATGGGTTTAAAGTTGAAAAACTGACTAGAGGATATTAAAGCTTTGTTGTCTTTCAAAGGCTTTTGTGATGGATTTTCAGTATCTGAGTGAGGCAGTAAAACCAGGATACATTAGAGAATAATACATCACAGCATTGGACTGTATTTTATGGTACAAAAAGATGGATCATTTTGAACAATCATGATATTATAGTGAATATTACAGGGACTCTGGAAAGAGCTAGATGTGCCTGTGTGTGCGTCAATTACTGTGTTTTCACTCCAGGATGAAATTACCTGTCATTAAGGCAGCAGTAGATAATGGGGTTGTACATAGTGGAACTCATTGCCAGCCACATGATAGTCAGATAGACCTGCTGAATGAAGGGTTGCTCAAACAGGTGCGGGTAGAACTGGTGAATCAGGAAATAGACGTGATAGGGGAGCCAACAAAGAGCGAATGTACATACCACCACAATCATCATCTTCACCACCTGAAGGTCGAACAAGAAGATTGGTTATACTTTATGCTTATAAATACAATATCTGTCATTCAAGCTAATTTCCTAGGCTTTGCATGCTGCCCACATTGTATGAAAACTTGCAGAATGCTGACAGACATAATGTTCCCTAATAATTTTCTTGACAGCTTTTAGGTGGTTCAATGGTCTTAATTTACCACCAGCAAGCAGAATGCAAACGTGTCATTGTAAATCACATTAAAACATATTAAGTATAGAGGTAAAAATATGAATTGTGCAGGAGCCATTTTTCAAAGAGCCAAATATATATTTCAGAAATAGCTTAAATTACATTAATTATATGTTAAGGTTTCTATGATAAAATGTTTTCTGCAGCTTACTGTAATGTGAAGAGACAATTGAATTCCCCTTAAAAAAGTGTAATAATTGGTGTCAGCCCAACATAGACACATTGGTTTAACCAATGCCTTGAGTAAGGAGTACTCAAGATTAACATGAGATTGGCAGAAACTGTGTGTGTTATTGTAACGTGGCTGACGAGACGTGAGAGACGTGCGGATCCATGTGCAAGCTTTATTCACAGGCGTGGTCAGAAACAGGCATGGGTCAGACAACGGCAAACAGGAATATGGTGGACAAGACACAAGAATAATCCTAGGGCTAGCGAAGGTCAACGAACGGCGAACATAATCAAAAGGGCGAGACTAAAGCGATAAATCCAGGAAACCAGGCAAGGATCAGAAACCGAGAAAACAGACAAGGCAAGACTAGGCTAAGGCAGGGTAAACTAACGAGGGCTCTGTAGTGTAGCTATCAAATGATAAGCGCTAAACAATACTCGGCACCGGGAAGGGATCAGAGTGAGTGTTAAATAGTGAGTGAGTGATATGAAACAGCTGTGTGCAATCAGTGCTGAGTGTAATCAGTGAAACAGCTGTGTGCAATCAGTGCTGAGTGTAATCAGTGAAACAGCTGTGTGCAATCAGTGCTGTGTGCAATCAGTGCAATGAATGATGGGATATGTAGTCCGGGGTGATATGCAACAGTGTGTAGTGCGAGAGTCAATGAAAATGGAAAGGGTGACCTCTGATGGCTAGCAGACGGAAGTTCATGGACCGGATACGTAACAGTTATGTCCCCTCAATTGATTTCTTTCCCAAATTGCATTGACTGCTCTAAAATATGAGACACCAATGTTTCAGGAGTTTAGGACATATGCTTATTCGATAACAGTTTTATTTCCTATTTGTGTTTATGTATATGCTTTATTTTTTAAGATTGACTGTTTTTTTCCAAGGCATTGTTAGATGCCAGTGCTTCCTTTCTAAGCAAAGACTTGATTTTAAAAACAGTTTCATAGCTATTAAACTATTTCTTGTTATGGTTTTAGTCTGTATTTAACCTCAGAATGATCTCAAAGTAAAAAGAGGTGCTAATGTCTGATTTTGTGTGCTTTAATATGTAATTATTATACGCTTATTATAATTATTATAATCTGAATAAGTCTGACAGTAATCAGTGTTGAGTACTACTGTAAGGTTGACCCTGCTTGTTTGAAAATGATTAACAGTTGAAAACATTCTTTAGAAATTTAGAAATGTAATTAGTTACATTATAAAAAGTAATTGAAATAATTACACTATTACATTTTTTTTTAATTACTGAGTGCATCTTCAAATAACATCTTATTTTTCACTATTTGGACATTCTTGTTTGTTGTTTATTGTCCTACTAGAGAAAAAGCTGCCTTTGGACTGCTGTCAATAAGCTGCACCTGTCCCGACTATTCTAGGTCTGTGAAAGGTAGGTCAGTTGCCTTAAACTACTCTAGTTCTACAACACTGGAGATTCCTGATCAACTTACAGCTTGAAGTGGGCATGAAATCAGCATTAAAACCACAATGACACACTGCCAGAAGCCAGAGCATGTAGTAGCAAATCACTCAGTCACCAGCAGACTGTCAGAGGCTCTTTGATGATTATGAAGCTCAGACAGAAGACAGGGACATACATGCGCTCAGAGGTAGTATGTCACATTGTGTCATCATAAGTACTAACGATGTGAGCTCAAAAATAGTTTAAGATATTTTGTGTGAGGAAGAAGAGGAAGATGGTAAGACAAAATGATAGCAATGGTATGTAAAATAGATATTGGAGAGAAAACAGTATATCTTGACTTCATATCCTTCAAGAGTGGTGAATGAGGCAGACACATACACACACACACAGAGAATACAGATGAAAGAAGCAGATGGACCTTCTCACTGCGGGTGAGTTTCATAGTGATTATTTCATGTGGCCTTGTCTGACACTCCTCCCCTTGCGTTGTGAACTCTGTCTGCTTTGTTAACTCAGAGTTCGGTGTCTGACCTGGACTGTGTGTGTAGGCAAATGTCATGGGCTTAAAAGATGATGAAAAAAGGAGGAGCAAGAGGATGTTGTGATGAAGACCTTGCGTTTGGCGGTCAGCTGCTCTTGGTAACGGTCAGATGAATCTCCTGGGATCTCACTGGCCCACAGAGTCAAACCCATCACCAGGTAAGCACAGCCCATCACCAGGAGGGGGAGGAAGTAAATCAGCACCGCCACACACACAAAATACCTTCAAAAGGATAGATAGACAAAGAAAGAAAAATAAAAAAAATTTATTTTAACATTATTGTAACTCAATACAATTTTTAGATGCAGTAATAATTAAATTTGCATGCAATTTCAGCATTCTTATTCACACCATTTGCTGTTTTAATTTTCTGGTTTTCATGAAAATATGTAGTATTTTATCCATCCTATTTAATTTATTTATTGGTTTAATTTTTTGACTCTAATTCCTGATCTTTTGTTTATCTCATATTATAAGACCAAGGGTTATGACATATGCAGCAAAAAAACAAGATATTGTGGCCATGAATTAAGAATTTGTTACACGATTTTACTAAATTAAAATGAGGGAATTAATTAGTACAATATGGACACTGTTTAAAGGGATAGTTCACCCAAAAATGAAAATTCTGTCATTAATTACTCACCCTCATGTTGTTCCAAACCCGTAATGCCGGCCCTGTGTCAGCAGGATCACACGCATAGATTGTGGTAATCTCGTGAATGGTGACAGAGACTGACGCGGAAGAGAAGAATTGTTAAATAAAGTCGTTATTTTTATTTTTTTGCACACAAAAAGTATTCTTGTAGCTTCATAAAATTACGGCTGGACCGCTGACGTCACATGGACTATTTTATCGATGTCCTTACTACGTTTCTGGGCTTTGAACGTGGTAGTTCCGTTGCTGTCTATGCAGGGTCAGAAAGCTCTCGGATTTCATCAAAAATATCATAGTTTGTGTTCCGAAGATTACAATGGTCTTATGGGTTTGGAACGACATGAGGGTGAGTAATTAATGACAGAATTTTCATTTTTGGGTGAACTATCCCAACGAGGAAACCCATTAATAAAACGTGGGCACAAGTTAGTATGTCCATTTTTTCCTGCCAAGGATCTCCATAAAATGGTTTATTTCAATTACTAAAATCATCTCATAAATGCATTCATTTAGGAAGGGAGCAAGGAAACAATAGGGTACAGAAACACTTCAAAATTAGAGTCCACAAACAAAAGACAAAGGAACACAGGCTGGGATCATAACACAAATAAATCAGTTGGCACAATTCTTTCTAAGTGAAATCCCCCCACACTCTTCAGACTGTAATGTACAATTGCACTGGTTTTTATCTATTTTCAAAACATTTTTGCCTTGCCAAATCTCTGTCAGACTTGAGTCATATTGCTTGTCCGATAAATCTAGGCACAGCTCATTTCTTAAGCCTAATGCACTTTGTCTAGCAAAGATCATGAATCAAACTCAGCACCCAAGACAAGTGAAGTCACATATCAAAGATGAATATATTATTTCATATTAATCTCTCAAAAGCAATTACAAAGTGAACTAGACCTCTTAATGTGTGAATTATTAAATAAACCTGTAACAGGGAAACACAGCAACCAAACTGTGTTTGAATCACAGTGCTGACTTGAAAACCCATGGCCAAATGACAATTGTGTTTACTTTCTTAAAGTAACTGCTCAATAATGTTGAAGTTTCCACATCCACAGATGAAAAATCACAAATATGAATGAACATTTGTGAATATTATGTGAATAATATTATCATAAATATCATAACACTCATGAATATTAATTAGCTCAGTTTTAAAGTAATATTAAACCATCCATTCATGTTGTAATTGATATTCATGAGACAAACCAATTTCAGCTTGGGTTATGTGACTGCGCTTATTTAAATCCTTTTTCCCCAAAATGAACAAACTGGCGATGTTCTCTAAGAGCAGACAGTAAACACTGCAGGAAATGCCCTGAGGGCCAGACTGAGAGATACTGATATCAGGAATGCCACCTGCCAATCTGAAGACAACACATGTTCCCTATCTGTCGGTCACTATGAGTTATGTTGTGATGACATTTTGGGAGCCCAATCACCTCTGATTTTAAGAGAAAACGCCAATGAAAATTGGCTAGTCATGTGACACACAGCAGCCACAATAGCTCTTATGTTTTATTTATTTATTTTTTCCTTTTTATTCGAAACATTCCCAAACGCATTAACTATATCATGATATCTCGCTTCTCACCTATGTTAGTTGATCTATAGTGGGCGATGGTCAAAGTAACCAAATAATGTAGTCTATTAACTATGCATAGAAACCTGTCTGTTTATATAAATAACAGATATGGGTGTCATGCCATAACATAGTTTTAATGCGACTGACTTTATATTTAATGTGAATTTAACATTGAAAGTTAATGTGAATAAAAACATTGTAAGTTAGGCTACTAATCATAATACTTTCATTGTACAGAAAGAGAGCAAAGAACATTTACATGATCAAAGAACATTTTCACTGACAGCCTATTCAAGCACTCTCAAAAATCCCATTAAAATCACTGAAGCTGTTTACACTGTGAAATGAATATCTTATTTATACACACATCTGCACTTTGTTGTTACTAACGAGAGAATTCGCCAGAAAGAGGTATTCAGTCAGCGAGCGAGTGAAGAAAACACCGGTATTTTAGCGATGACTCATCTGAACACCTCTGATTGGTCATTGCACTCATAAGCTCAACATTATCGTGTGATTGGTTATAATGTGCAGCGCAGTAAAAACGCGTCTGTCTCTGGCTCAGCGCCAGCGAACGAATGCAGATTTGAATTTAGCAGCTGATGATATGAGGTGCTGAGCGATTTAATCACGCTGGTCTGATTGTATCAAATATACAAAATATTATTCGGCTATTTTTTGTCTTTTGGAAGCTGCATTCAAAATCCACTTGGCTCAAAAATCACTTTGAATGGGCATGACGCCTCTGACCATGGCAACGCTGCGATCGCATCTCTCCGTTCTTAAAGGGAAAGGAGCAGACCCCTCTGTCACTACCCGTCCCGGTTTCTCTGCCACGAGCAGAGGACTGCCGGCTAGTGCTCTGGGAGATTTGAAGGTGACAGTGAGAGCTTCTCCGCCGGGCCACGCCCCACGGACCTCTGCCGGGGGATCAGATGTCGATTGCAGCATCGGGGGATGGGCTATTGACCTCTGTGGATGAAGATTCGGTGGAGCTGCCCCCCTCGGGTGTTGTCACCACTGCCAAATCGGACCCAGAGTTGACGGCCGTGCTTGCCCGGGCAGCTGTAAGCATCAGGTTGGAGGTGAATACACCGCCCAGCCCTGAGTGCTTGAGGCTGGACGATTGGTTTCTCGGTATAGAGTGCGGCTCACAACCGCGTTCTGCTCTGGTTCCTTTCTTCCAGGAGATGCATTAGGAAGTGACGTAGTCGTGGACGGCCCCTTTTACGGCCAGAAGCCGCTCGTCTCCTTCCTCCGTCCTCACTACCCTCGATGGCGGGGCAGCTAGGGGGTGCGTCGACATTCCCCAGGAGGAGAGAGCGATTGCGGTG